TATTATTTTTATTTATTGATAATTTATTTTAAAAATATTAAAATTTATTTTAAAAATATTAAAATTTAATTTATAAATAATTAAATGAAATAAAAATTAAATTAAATAAGAAATTAAAAGATTTTATAAAAATTCTCTCATAAAAAAATCAATTTTTAAAATTAGAGTTATACAAATGGTCGACCCCACTCATTTATTTTAACTCAATTCAATTCACATTCTAAATGGAGTTAGCTCAGGCCAACCCACCAATTTAATGCTCAAAAATTTCTAATCCGGCCTAAGGTTGTTGGTGGACTACGGACCCCGATTCATCAATCCACCTAATTTTTTTAAAAAAATAATTTAAGATAAATTTTAATATAAATAATCTATAATTTAAAATAAAATTTGGCAAACTATGATGCATACAACTTTGAACTTAATTTAAAAAGTGAACAACAAATAATTAAAACAAAAAAATATATTGTCTTTGAAGTAGTTGTTCATCAATATTCAACTTAATAGGAAGTCTAAGTAAGTAAATCTATAGTAGTTTAATGTTGTTTAACGTGAATTTTATCTTCTCTAAAAAAATGGTATCTTATTAAAATAATACATATTTAACAATAAATGGTAAAGTGAGTTATTAGTGGACTAAGTTGATGAGAGGTGTAAGAGCGTGTTTGAAAAATCATTTTTTTAACGAAAACGTAAAAACACACTTTTCAAAACACTAAAATACAAAATAACTATTTCTATCTTTTTCCATTCAACATACGTTTGAGAAATTTTAACAATAAACCAAACACACTGTAAGCGGTTAGGTGGACAACCCAGTCTACCATGAGTTCAGTCCAGGTAAGTTGGGTTAAAAGTAGACTGAATTGAGTTTTTGTACTAATTAAGAGTTCTTTTTTTTTTGGGCAGGTTTAGGTTGTTTTCAAAGTGGATCAAGTTAACTTGGGAGCTAAAACCCACTTTAACGGCTTCATTTTAAACACTTTAAAAGTTTATATTTAATATATAAAAATTAATTAAAATTTATAATAAATTATATTAATAGATACTGTTCTTACCGGAAATCTGCTGTAGAGCTGATCCGCCGGGTAAGATTGATGAGCCTCCTTCGCTGGGTGGATTGGTGCTTCGAGATGGGGGAGGTACCTGCAAAAGAGACTCCGATGCTAAAGTTAGGGTTTGTATGAGTATGAGTCTCGTATATATGTAATGCACATACCTTTGTGTCAGTTAGTGTTGTCTTGGGCCTGAGATAAGATATGATATGATACGATATCCTCTCATATGATATGATCACGTTGTGACATAATATGGCATAACGGGAGAACGGTTTTGGCCTAGGACGAGATCTCCGGGCTCGGGCGTGGTCTGTCCGGATTCCGGGCTGACGTTGTTCAACGCGTGTCCCGGATGACCCTTATAATGTCAACCCGGGCTGAGAGCCCGGGTGCGAAATGCGGTCAGTACACTAGCCCCCCGAGCTCCGAAGGCCGTAGGCCGAGGAGTTAAGGTCGGGCTCGTGAGAGGAGAGGTGGCTTTGCGCGTACGCTAGCTGGAGGTTCGACACGTGTCGCGACTGTTTATGCTCTGGAGACGTTTGATTGACGTATTGGGGGCAGTGACGGTTTTTTAATGATGGTTTGGTAATAAGTGTGTCGTCGGGTGTGCCTTTCAACTGACACGTGTCGCGTCGGTTTTGAATTTCGGGGAGAGTTTTAGCCTTTCTCTCTTCTCGCGCCTCTTCCCTGTCTTTCTTCTGACTTCTCGAGTACGAGAGCTTTTCTTGGTTCCCTTTACCTCCTTTCTCTTTTGCGCTTCCGTCG